TGTGTAGGGACTTTATGTATTGAACAGATACTTAGAGCCATATCAGACCACGCAGAAATATTGTTGCAAAAATCTCAACATTCTTATGTATTTACTTTTGCAAAGTGAAATATCTGAGAAATGCTTTTCATAAGGAATACATACCCCCATTTCAATAGCAGCCTGTGTGTGTGTCTGTGTGTTTCTCTGTGTGCATGTTCACACGTCTGCATACCCAGAAATCATCTCATGGGAAGAAATCCTAGAGATGGTTCCCAGTGTATTAAACTGAGATTCCCAAAGAACAATTTCTAACCTCATATATCAGAAATATTGTTTCTTATTCTTTGTTGTGACAGATACTGAGTTTTTCTTTTCATGTTCACTGCTACTCAGTCTATTTCTAATGTTTATAATTCTTCAAGCTTTCAAAATTTCAAGCTCTTACTACTCAGTGGAATGAAGCACAGCAAGCATATTCCTCTTGTCCGTGGTCTTATTTTTGCATTTCTCGTTTAGGTAGTAAAAATTACTGGGAGCATCTTGAGATAAAAATTTTGTCTTGGTCAATTTTGGGAATCTTGCACATCCAGTGACAAAGACCACTCAATTTTTCAGCTTGTCAGAAAGATCTTTCCTGGCAGGGTCAGTTTTCAGGAATATGTTCCCGGTTGTGCTTAGAAAATTAATAGAGAAAGGAGAGTTTCTCTAAATCAGAGCATGCTGGAAAGATTTAAAGCAACACACTGATTATATAATTAATTCTCAGTTGTAAATTCATTTTGATGGTGCTGATTCTCTCCCAGAGGCTCCAGGCTAGTTTATTGCACCTACAGAGTTATGCTCACTGGAGACACAGGAAGGCAGCAAGGCCTTAAGGAAAGAAAAACTCACCTTCTAATTTATTCTGCACGTTCAGGGTTTTGTTTATAAAGAAGGAACTTCTGTATGATGTATTTGTTCTTAATTCAACTGTCTGGAAAACTTAGTCAAAAGACTCAATCCTTTTGACATGGATAAACAAATGAACAGTTTAATATGGTGATCTTACATTTATCTTTATGTGAGATATTCTTTTAGGTAGAGTTTATCAAAATCTTTTTGTTATACTCAGTATACTCCTTTAAATATTATATTAAAAACATAGAAGCTTGTGAAACTTGAACTGAATCAGAAAAATGCCATGCTTTCATGGCTGTGATTATCTGATGATACATGCTTGCTTATAAAGTCGACCTTAAATCATGTGAATTTTAGCTATGCTTCTGCCTTTTTTCTGGCTTGTGATGACAAGTAAAATCTCATTCTTTTCAAATAGGGTACTAGAAAACCATATGTTTAGCCACAGTTATCTTGCTCATTCACCTAATAATACCAATGGCCGTCACTATTTGTGTTATATATTTCTCTGTAATGATGGCAAGCCTCAATGTTAAGGGGAAAATGTAGGTGCATGTGACAGCATTGTATTTTTCTGAATGAATCACTCTTATTCTTTCTAGGCAGTTTGGTGGCGGCAGCAGATGTAATGTTGTGTTTGCTAAACTGTGTTATCACCACATTCCCTGGTTCGATCTGAAACGTGTAAATAAAGTCAGCATGGTGCACAGAGTATTGCCAGCTGATCTTTCATACAACTCTGGGGGACATGAGTGGACTTGTCCTGGAAGATCATTTCTTTCAAAACTTGAATTAACCCCAGTATTCTTTAAGTGAGAAAAAAGGTTGTTTCTTCTTTATCACGTTGCCTCCTTAAAGGGAAGGAACTTATATTTAAGAGGCACCAAGAGTATAGCAGGTAAATCATATATGTGATAATGTTTCATTCCTCTAACACCCCAATTGGGGCAAGGATTATGATCTCCATTTCTAGAAGGAAATGCAATTGAAACTCAAAGAGGGTGAAAAAGTCCCGGGAACACTCCTGTGGTTTGATTCTGGTTTGCGTGTGTTCCTCTCAAGGCTCCAGGTGCTGAAAACCCGGTCACTAGGACAGTAGCGTTGAGATGGTAAAACCTTTAAGTTCTTTCCATAGGTGAGAAAGTGGTAGCTAGCTCTGTCTCTCCATCCATCTGGCTCTGCCAGTGTGCTGTCTCATGGCTGGGACTCGAGACTGTAAGATGACATGGGCTCTAAGCTGCCATTTCAGAATGGTTTTGGCGAAATTTGAGAAATTATTAAGTAGTTGCATGCTAACTATATGCAGAATTATGCCAATGTGCTGACAAGAGAGTGGAAAGTAGCCGAAACACTCAAACTGAAATAAAGCATTGGCAAGTAGTAACTATTTTTAGGGTGCTGGAAAGTGAAGTAGGCCCTCCATACGCCAAGCTTCTTCTCTGCCACTGGGCTACACCCTCAGCCCCTTGCAGGTGAATTTTACAAGCAATAAAATCTCTGACATCTATGTTGCTATGTACCACATTTTGCGTGAGTTTTCATGGTACCTGAGTGCTTAAAGAGAGAGGATTTCTTAATTAATTGTGGTCTACAGTGGACTCAATTAAGATGTCAGTTTAATGGCCATTAAGTGCAACTCTGAAGCTGATTAAGAACAACTTTATGAAATATTAGAAGTGAAAAGATAACATTAGATTTTTTTGGGGGGGGGGTAAAGCAATCCTGACACAAGATTATAGAACTAGAAATAAAACCTAAAATATTTGAATATATATCATGTATAATTATTGGTCATTTACATTGTAATGTACACAAAATGTTTTTGTTTTGGAAAACAATATATTTATGAAAATAAACTGGAGTGCTTTTATAGTTCCACCAAATAAAATCAAGTTTTTAGTTGATACATATTTCAAACATTACATAATTTTGATTAATTTACTCCTAAAATCATTCAATTCTGGATGATAAATTATTATATTCTTCTAGACAGGTAGAGTGGGGGCTCCTTAGGCCTAATTTTTGGATACTAAATATTCTAATTGAAATATAAAATTTATAAAAACTAACAAGACTTTGGAAGAATCATCTATTAATTTGAGTACTAACCATGCTTTCTTCACAGCCAGAACCTCAGTACAGAATTTGCTTTTTCATAGGGGGGGAAAAATCAGAAAACTGAGGTAGGAGGTTTTTATGAAATTGAGCCACAAGGAAATTTAAGCCATTTTCCATGAAATTGTTTTGACCTAAACTCGAGGCCTCTGAAAAGAGGAAGCCACTTTTGCCCTGTAGGTCACATTCCCCAGGGCTTTCAAATGTTCCTTTATCAACATGGGTACTTATGCGATAGACAGAGATGGGTTTTCATGATTGTGCCCTTTAATAGACGTCAGTGGATTGCTGAGCATGAATTAGGTTGCTCTGGCAGCATGTCTAATTTTTTAACACAAACTACTTGAAGAGTGGTGATGAAATATAAAATTATAGTGATGAAAAATAAGAATTTTCAATTTGGTCAAAAAGTAGAAATATTTTGCAAGTTTGATGTTGTCAGAAGAAAAAACGAGCCTGTTTCTTCCTTCTCTATTCAATGGTTAAAGTGCACTTGACTGGATAAGGGTGTGGATCAGCAGATAAGAAGCTTCTGAAACTGTCCTAGCACCTTTTCCTGGAGAAGTGGAGGCAGCCTTTCTCCTTGATCTGTTTGAGTCAAAATATCTTAAACAAGGGCAGATACAAAAGCAAATGTTGTGCTTTTTCACAGATCTACCATCGTGGTGGATTTACCGGTGCTCCCTACAGATGGTGGATGCTCCTTCTCTCCATCCATGGCCCTGGGAATACAAGAAGGAGTAATTTTTTGTTTCTCTTTTGCAGCACAGAGGGTATTAGGGGAATGTCCTGCTAAATTTGGAAGCGTGGGCTGAATAATGTGGTACGGTTCTAATCCATGTGAAATTCTAGCTAGGAAAGAAGCTTCATAGCGTTGCTTGAGGTTTTAGGTTTCAACTAGCAGATGTAGTGACTGAGAGAGGCAGGAGTGAAGAGGACACTGACTTGATCAGAGATATAGCCAAGTTCACACGGAGGTGAACATAGCATCTGAATATGAGAAAGAGTGTGCCGTTATCACTTTCCGATGAATTTCCTTTCCTTGGACATTTGAATAGTTTCTTCTGTGTTTATAAGATCTTTTAAGCAGGACATGGTAATGACAACAGTCTATAATCCTAGAACTCCTATAGGCTGGAATACGAGGATTACAACTTTAAACCCAGCCTGGGCAATTTAGCAAATTAGCAAGACCCTGTCTCAAAATTAAAAATAAGGGCTAAGGTTTGAGCTCAGTGGAAAGGACCTGGGTCCATTTCACAGGGCTGCCCCCCAACAAAAAAAATCTATATGTAAAATAAGGGCTAAGCTTTTAGACAACTAAATTCCATTTTACATATAGAGGGGAAGACTGAGAAGGATGAAGTTACATTTTCTTTCGACTTCATGAGGAGCTCCCAGCCACCTGTCTGGGACCCTCCCCTACCTAGTGAAGCACATGGCTGGGATGCAGCCCAAGCATTGCATGGTTCTGTTGCTTCACAGCCTTCTGCAGGTGCTTGCTCTGTTTCTGAGGTGGGTGTAAAAGTACAAATGAAGTGCTCCTCAGGCCTGCAAGATGTCGAAACTGTGATTTAAAATTTGACTACGATGCCACAGTCCTAGGAAGCAAATTAAGCGTGTCTGTAACGTACCATGTTGTTGCCTGCGGGAGCATTTCTGGAGAAATGTGAAAGCGGGGTAGGATGAATTTGAGAAGAGCTTGTGAGGACACAGAAGACAGAAGTGACCCACGCTGAAGAGATCCCAGAATGCACTGAAGGAAGGGGCAGCTGCCTCAAGAAACTGAAGCCCCAGGTCCACAGCAGCTTCTGCTCCTCACCTCCAGCTTCTTCACTGATGAGTGGGCTGAGAATCTTTGTTTTTTTGCAGCAATAAACATTTCTTTTGTAAACATAGAATTCATCTTTTAAAAACTTTCTGATGGTACAAACGCATGGTATCATTTCTGTGGTCAAATGATAAAATGAAGTCACTGAGCTAGATCTTGCTTTTATGTTTCCTAGGAATCCGAGAGAAAGGGGATAATTGAGAGAATCTATATGGTGCAGGACATTGTGTCAACTGTTCAAAACATCTTGGAAGAAATAGCTTCCTTTGGAGAAAGAATTAAAAAGTAAGTTCCGAATGTGTGCTGTGGTTTTTGATGTGTTCCTGCTACTCACAGGGATGTTGGGGAGGAGATAGGAGCAGAGAGTGCAAAGCAAAAACAAAGCGAAGCGTGGTGTTTCCTAAGCCAGGTTTGACTTTGGCTTATCAGCTTCACAGTTGGGTGGTGCCTCAGAACGGGGGACCATGTGGCTCAGTTTACCCTAGTTGTCCTGGCATAACTATTAAAGGTGTCCTCTCTCACTCTCAGAAATATCCTGCTTGGGGTGATGAGTTACAGATTAAAAAATATAGATTCCGTTATTCAAAAATAAGAAAGGAAGCTCATATATTCTAAAGGAGCCTTTTTTGTTGGAATTGTAGAACATAGTAAAAGCCTTGATGAATGTTTTTTCTTGTTTCCTTAAAAAATATTACACAACTAGCCGTGTCATGGTTGGAGAGACATGAAGTTAGCTCGCCATGGATGTCTTAGGATAGAGGTTGACACACTCTGCAATGGGCCAGCGAGTATATATTTTCATCCTCCTAGGCCGTATAGACTTGATACAACTACTCAACCCTGTTGTTCTTTAAGTGTAAAAGCAGTCACGGTTGATATGCAAATGAATGAGTGTGATATGTGTTGAATAAATCATTTATGAAGTGGAGGGAGAGGTACAGGGCTGTAATACTAGCGCTCTAGGAGGCTGAAGTAGGAGAATATCAGGTCTGACCATTGCCTGTACAATTTAGCACTTAGTCCCTGTTTTAAAAGATAAAAATGGTGTGGAGATGTAGTTTCATATGCAGACCCCAGGTTCAATCTCTAGCACCACAGACACACAAAAATATCTATGAAAACAAGAGTCATGCTAGACTTTACCCAAATCCAATCCATAATTTGCCTCCTTGTACCTTTGGACATAGAGGTGAACTTATTTAATGGAGTCCTAATTAAGAACGACGCCATCATCTATGTTTTTGTTTTATTTTGTACATTGTAAATCTGTACAGCTTGCTCTTCATTTGATACCAATGCAGAAAGAGGATTTAAGTATTTCTTTTGGACTATAAATGGATTTCTTTTTTCATTCAATCCAGAATTGTGCCAAGTGTGTCTTTCTAAGTATTAAAACTTACTTTAATGGCCATTGTATGGAGGTCATTCTAATTTCATTAAAGAAGATATTGTTTTTGCAATTGTGTGGGCAAGGAGGAGATTAAAATTAATGCTAAAAGCCAGTTGCAAGTCTTCTACATAAAAAGCCAGTGAATCCAATAAATGATTAACATCAGGAAATATAAATTGTTAATGTGCAACTCTCAGTTGCTCTTTCTCAGCTGCATGTTCATGCTAATTGCATTGAATACCCATGTGCCATCAGTATAGTACACGTTTTTTAAAAAAATAGACTAAAAAACACTTAAATTTGATACATGCTAATAAATTTACACATTTTTACCATTAACAATTAAGAAAGGAAAAATTAAAGAAATGCAGGACTTTTCTACATATGTTGAATCCTATCTGCTTCCTTTTTCTTGGATTCCATATAGTTGACAAATGATTCCTAAACTTACCCTCAAAAATATATTTAACAGGAATACATAGAAGAGCATTGTATTATTTGTGTATTCATTTTGTTTTGTTTTGTTTTTTGAGACCGGGTCTCACCATGTAGTTGAGACTGACCTGGAACTCACTATGTAGCCCAGGCAGGTCTTGAACTCACAGTGATCCTCCTGCTTCAGCCTCCCGAGTGCTGGGATTACAGGTGTGTGCCACCACGCCCAGCTTTTTGTGTTGTTTTTTTGTTTTGTTTCTGGTACTGGGGATGGAACTCCAGTCCTTGTACTTGCAAGGCAGTGGGTGAGACCACTAAGCTAAATCCTTGGCTCCGTATTCATTTCCTTATTTAGTTATCCTTTACTTTACAAGTCAGAGCTTTAAGCACCGACTTGGTCTACATATAAGCAATGCATCCATGATAAATAATAATAGCAACATTGACTAGTATCACATGGGCTAGTTACTGAGCTAAGTCATTACCCACAGGAACTGCTTGGTGGAGTTGCCTGGGGGAGTTGAATTAAGTCATTCTGACTGTGATGGAGTAAGGGATGCTAATCTCCTCGTTTCACAGATGAGGATACCAAAGCACAAAGTGATCAATTTCTAGGCCCAGATGACACAGTAAGTCAAGTAGCTTGCATTTGAGTGTGTCCCCTTCCCTCTTATACTGCAATGTGGTTGTCCTCTAGGAACCTAGTTTTCAATGAGCACAAATAAGTGACAACCAAATAGAATTCAGTAGCACCAGTTGGAGGTAGTGATCAGAAAGGATGCTGGGGAAGGTCTGACTGGCCTACGAAAGGATGTCAGAGACAGAAGGCAAGTCTGAAGAAACCACAACATCAGCATCTGTGAGAATCCAAAGAGATGGGGAGGCAGAGACTGGATGAAGGGGGGCTCAGTAGGTGTGAGCCATTGTGCAGGGACTCCAGGAAGAGACCTCAGTGAGGTAGATTCAGGAAGACCTAGGGCTTGATTATGTCCATGCCGTGGGAGGTGGAAGTGGCAGTGACAGGAGATGGCCTTGTGCAGGGCTTTGAGGAGATGGAAAAATCAGTGTTAGGAAAAGAGAGTGAAGAATGACTTGGCAGCAAGGAGGATAAGAGGATGTGGAGGGGTGCGGGGGCAAGGAAGGAAGATCATGTTGTTTGGTAAAACTGTCTCCAGTCTTAAATGTCTCTCCACACAAATGTAGCTGTTGTACAGTTGATAATGTTAAAGGAAATGTGTATGACCAGAGAAGAGGGCAGAGTGATTTAAACAGTTCCCAGCTCTACAGGGCTTCTGAGGGACAGCTGTACCCAGCACAGCTGGGGTGGACACATCTGAGGCGGGCTTCAGCTTATGAACAGAGTACTGTTCTGACCAGCTGCAACACAGGAAGGCTCCTGAGGCTCAACTCCTATTAATTCTTTGGCCATTCATTATTTCATTGACCTTAAAGTCCCTGCTGGGCAATCAAGTGTGATTTTATGTGTAACTCAATTGGAATTCTATTGTAATTCAGTGCTTAAGAACCAAGAAAACTTTTACTCAACTTTTGGCAATTAGCAAATACATAGATTTCCATAAAAGTCATAAAGCAAACCTTCCTTGCCAGTGATTGTGAAAGCCCTACTGGTGCTGCGTGTACATGGGATAAGCTAAATTTCCTTTTCCCTACTCTGCCTTCTTTATTCACCATCTCTAATAGTACACCAATGGAAATATATGTAAATATCAACTGAAACATTTACTCCACAGGCGGCATTTATATTGTAGTAGACAGCAGGGGTAGAGGAGCCGTGCATGTCCTATCTTCCAAGTTCTGTGTTCTTAGGTGCCTGGGCATATCTCCATGGGGACGTTAAGGTTAAGGGAGACCTCTGAAGACTGAAAATCATTCCTGCAGACGTTCCAGATGGAAGGTTAGAAGGTGTATTCGTATAAAGTAGAATTGTCCAGGCTTACAAGTGATATTGAGAAATTCTAAACAGTAGACATGGTAGAGCTGGAATGACAGGGAGGATGTTGCGGGTTTCCTTTTTTTTTTTTTTTTGGTGGTGGGGGGGGCTTCGGCCCTTATTCTAAACAGTAGACATGGTAGAGCTGGAATGACAGGGAGGATGTTGCGGGTTTTCTTTTTTTTTTTTTTTTGGTGCTGGGGATCGAACTCCGGCCCTTGCTCTTGTGAGTCAGGCACCAGAACCATTAAGCTACATCCCCAGCTGACAGGGAGGATATCGGAGATGCTAGATTGATGCATTTTGTGTTCAGTCTGGGAGTAGTCTGTTACAAAGGAGAAAGAGTGAAGGCAGAAAGACCAAAGACAGGCCAGGCATGCTGAGCTATTTGCTAGCTAGTGTGAGAACCATGCAGGTGTGCAGGAGAGAAAACATTGGAATTAGAAAAGAAAAATTGACAGCACTTTATGACTAGTTGCTTTTGTTTTCTTTCCATGGGAAGAGGCGTATTTCATTTGTCTTAGCTTAGGAATGAGAACAATTAGTTCTTCAACACAAAATTCAATATAGTGGAGCCCCCAGACCCACCTTATTAGATGTGGGCAAACCATTTTTGCCAAGTGTCTGAAATGTAGATCACCGTATCTTTGCATGTTGGTGAGCCCCGTGGTTGAGAGAATGGAGGGGATTATCTGAATTCTTTAATTAAGTTTAGCTAATATGTTTCACAGTGACACAAAAGCTTTGAGAACTTAGGGGGCTCCCATGTCAGGAAAATTGATAAAGTCTGTGAAGATGTTTTACAAATTGTTTGAGTGTAAGATGGGTTGGTATTGACTCACGAAAGATCTTCAACTGTGGATGTTCTATGGAAGACCCACTCCACGGATGCTTCCTGATAAATGGGAAAAGGATCCAATAAGCTTTCTGAGTGTTACAAGAATGACTATTAGTATCTGAACTAAGCAATCATTTAAGTAGGGACATTCAACAGGACTGAAAAAGTTACATGTGCCTTCTTATACTAAGTACTTAGGGTAAAAGCAGTGAATAGAGGCTTTTGAGGAAAAAATTTTAATTTAAATTCCAGCTCTGTCACACATGCTAGTGAGTAATCTTGGGCAACTGAAAGTTATGAGTCGGACTCCTCATCTGTAGCGTCTGTACCATCTTCTATTTAAAATTTTTAGAAGAATTAAGTGAATGAAGGCGTAGAAGCCAGACAATGGCATGTAATAATCCCTTAAAATATTGAGTATTGTTTTTGATAAATTGTATTTCTTCTTCTTTAGTCTGCAACCCAGTGAAGTCATTTCAGTCATAGGATTGGAGGGCCTTAGAAATAATTCTCTATGCCAGGTAGAGTGGTGCATGCATGCCTGCCTGTATTCCCAGCACTCGGGAGGCTGAGGCAGGAGGATCGTTGTGAGTTTGAGACCAGCCTGGGCTACATAGTGAGTTCCAGGTCAGTCTCAACTATGTAGTGAGACCCTGTCTCAAAAAACCAAA